CACCATACCCTAAGCATCATGCACACCCTCCTAGATGAGCAAGATCTCTTATTTAAACTATAGTAAATTAATAGATTTTCTATAGTATTTAGAGATATAATAATGACTGACTTACCTTCTAATATCCTCTTCTTAAATATATATTACCTAGAACTTAAATATGTTATCTCTACTTAACTTTACTAGGTGTGAGCCACTCGCCAGCAACACTAGGCTCTGTTCTCTATAACTTACTTTAATACTTTCTTTAAGGAAGCTCTTAACTAGTTGACTATTAAGATACTTAAAATATTTAATTTCATCTATATTTTAAGACTATATAACTCACTTAATAGTATATTTGCCTCTTATATCTATAACTTTCTTATTACTATATTATAGTCATGTTTACCTTATAATGGGATTACTTTATTTCTTGGTTTAGCCATATTAATAAATGCCTATCCTCCAGAAATATATAGTAAGGGTCTATATTTAATAGTACAAATAAGGCTAATAAATCTAGCAGAATTCTGCCTAATAGATATCTACTATATACTTTATTATGATGCCTACCATTCTGCCATGTAATAGCTATATAGTACTAAGGCTTTTATAAATTAATAATCTAAATAGATTAAATATTACTTATAGATGCTCTTTAATTCTATAATTAAAAGGCTAGAATCATTATCTTAGGTTTATAAATATAATTTAGATCCATAATAGGGGTACTAGAGCTAATATTAGTCTAATATAATATGCCTTAGCTACCTGCGGCGCTGTTCTAAGCATATTCTACCTTATAGGCACTCTATATGCGACATTTATGTTAAAATATTTAGAGAGGCATCCCCAGACTTTAAGCACTAATATATTAATCACCTCTATATTTTATATAGTAGTTCTTGGCCACTAATAATAAGACTAAAGCCTTTAACTGCTGCGCCATGGATTTTAATAATTAATAATGGTGGTCCATATGAAATCATCCCTCTTAAGAACCTTAAGCTTCTATAAAATATTCTAGGACCTGATCTACCTATCTATGAGCTAATTAACCTATCTATTAAGACTAGCTTAGGTGGCTTAATCACCTTGGTGATCTTCCTTCTCCACTTAGTAGTATTATCCTATAAGACTGATTTCATAAGACTCATAAAATAAGGATTTTCTAAAGCTCGACGCCGGCGTTTACTCAAGACTTTCCTTTATGATGGTGCTTATAATTTAAATATGCTAGACAACCTCCTATAAGAATACTATAGTACTTTACAAATGTTCAATACTCTAAAGAGCCTTCATTTATTAGGGAAAGTCGCTATCACGGCGACTTCTATAAAAGATGGCAGTCCTTTCTTATTCACCAATTATAATAGTACAGCTTCCTATTATACCTAGTCTACAGGGCCTTAGGTATATACACAACTTCAACTATAAGTCACTAAAGAGCCTTTTATTTAGCAAATATACATATCTATCTATCTAATATAATATATCTTTATCTAAAACTACTAGTGCCTGGGCCACTGCAGCTGCTCCATTATATTTCTTAACCATTTATATCCCTAGAGTAGGTATATTTTAGGACGGCAGGATAAAGTGGTATAATAATCTAGTAAATTTAGCTCTTTCTAAAGTAAAACATCTTTAGCCTAAAATTCTATAGCCTAATATTATTATATCCTTAGGGACAGGCTCAGAGGACCATGGCCAGCCTATAAAGACTTTATATTTCCGCAACCTTTTAGTGGATAGATAGATATCTAGACTCTATCAGTCTTTTGTCTCCTCTTTTGACAGGAACCTTATATAGATGAAGCTATAGGACTCCCTTAATAATAGATCCTGCAAAAGATTTTTTTAATTTAATTCATCTTTTCTAGGTGCTCCACCAGCCTTAGATTATACTAATAATCTTAATTAACTTTTATAGTGGGTTCGCCTGCATCTACCCCGCCTAAAAACCTAATATAAAGCTGTTATAGGCCTATTGACTACATGCCTATTCTTTTAGCTAGATAGAATGCCTGAGTTTTCTTTAGGGCTCTATCTTTATACTAGTACTATTAGATACTATATATCCCCCTATTATTTAATTAGCTGTTTAGAGTTAATCGCACCAACAGTCAAAGCATTCTATAAAGATAATATAAGCCTAGGATTTAGCTTATCATTAAAATATATATGCTCTACCTGCCATCACTTCTCACTACTAATATAGTTCTTTATTTATGATCTAGGAGAGGAAATTACTCTATTACTATAGATTAGTCTAGAATTCTATTAACTAAGTATATTCCCTAATAATATGTAGTGGTTTATTAAACAACAGAGCTTAGAGTTAAGCTTTAGAATACTAAATCATAGAATTCTACTTTAGATATATTGCTTAAACTGCACACAAAAATCTAGCCAAGGATAAAAAAGAAAATATGTAGAGATATAACCCCAATCATTTATTTAGTGCCTTTTCTAGGATATTAATATATTTTAAAGATGTATTATTAAGGCTGGCTAAAGTCTTCTTAAGTTATTTATTCTATCTTTAAAGTTCCTTAATATATTCTTAGTCTTTTAGATATGCTTTCTGGGTCTTATAGAGTTTAATAGAAAGCTTTAGCATAAGGTCTTCAGTAAGGGACAGTCTCTTAGAGGGTTTTATAGTAGCTTTTACAACTTTATTAGTTTAGTTTTTAGTTAATTAAAAAACTATTAAATTACTATATACATAGCTTTTAAGACGCAATGGGAGGGATAGGTAAGAAGATAAAATAGAAATTAGTAGCAGGTATTAGGAATAAGAGGGGGGATAGGAGAAGGGGGGGAAGACCTAAGACTTATAGTATATATATTAAAGAGTAACCCCCTTATGCTATAGTTTCTCCTTCTGGCGCTTATAAAATACCATGCCTATGGTCAGTATTTAAAAGGGTTAAATCGCCTTAATAGTAAGTAAGGAATTAACTTCCCTATTTAACTTATAAATAATCTAGGATAATGGGCATATATTTTAATAAAGAAGAAATAAAGTAAATACTCTTAAAGCTTAATGACCTCCCTCTAGAAGATCTTTTTCTCTATAGATTTTATCTAATATCTTGGGTAGTAGGTCTTAATAAAGACTCTTATACCCCTCCCCCCCTAATGCTTATCTAGGATGAAGGAAGCGAGGACATTAAAGACACTACTTAATATAAGCCTTATTACTAGGAAACTAAGAGAGGGGTCTTAGAAAAGCAAATTAAGGAGTTATAAGCCTTATATACTATTATTAATACTTTCTCTTCTAGATGCTAACTTCTATTAGAATTGACACTTTATATAGGTACATTTAGTAGAGTACTCTAATTAAGGTTGCTAAGTAGTCATTATAGTAAGGTTAAACATATTATAGTATATTTAGCTTCCTTAAAGCCATAGACTCTAGAAGTTGCGGAAGCTCTTAATAAACTTGGGGAGGCACCTCCCTTAGTGACAGACTTAGAATCTTTATAGTAAATATCTTAGGAGGATGCTGTAATATAATTACTATATTTAGATACTAGGTTTTCTCTATATTAAATAGGCTAAGATATAAATAGAAAGGTGCAGTGAGTGACTGGCTACCTAGATAGTTAACTATAGACTAACTAACCTCTTTTAGGTACAATATAGATATAGGTGCCTAAATACTAAGATAGGTGGATACTAGCTATTTATTATCTATTACTATAGTATCGCCTCTATAATATTTCCCTAGACTTTTTCTCTCTTATTCTGGAAAAAGGATGCCTTACTATATTCATACTTATCTAATATGCCACCTAATTACTTTACCCCTTAAGCTCCTTTATCTAATACTATAAAATCTATAAGATCTAGATGACTTTTTTGCCTTAATTTATACTTGCTGACGCCTCTTTATTAGTTTCTAAGGAGTATAAAAAATAATTATTATATTAATTCTATTAGGATATGTCTGTAAAACTAGCTAAATCCTCTATAACCACAGTCTCTATAAACTTCTTAAACAACTATAGCTTCTTATTAAATAAGATATTATATAAAGGGATATTGTGCTTTCTATCTTTACAGCTAGATAAGAACTATTTAGGTCTAGAAAATATAAAGACTTACTAATTCCCTTTAGGAGAGCCTTGGCATGGTCTTTAGTCTTAAATAATCATAAGTCTAATACTATAAACCTTCTGAATCAGCTTTTAAATAGATAATAACTATTTATCTAATTATAAAAGCTATTATTATTTCCTTTTTAACCTATCGCGGCGCTTCTGGTATAACTTATTAATAAGAAGGATAGATAGATAATTAGGTCTATCCTATAGGTCTTTAGACTATATAATTTTAAGCGCCTGCCTCTCCTTAAGATTATAGAAGAAAGATAAGATTCTATTTATATTAATCTAGATAATGTTAAGTGAGCTCACCTTCTAAGGGAGGGAATAGTGTTTAAGGAAAAGGTAATTATTATAGGTAGAGAGCTAGGCCTTAGGTTATCCTATTAGTGAGTTTAGTATTAAATAGTAGTTTAAGATAATCTATTCTTCTCTAGACCATCCTTAGTAGTAGGGCCAGAAAAGGGTCTATAGTTGACTACTAGGTAAGTAGTAACTCTAATAAAAATCTATATAAATATAAATACTCTAATAGTTTAATTAAATTATGAAATAGGGGTTTTAAGCAAAAGGTTAGGTGATATAAATAAAATTAGGTAATACTTTAAGTAAGCAGCAGGCCTATCCTCTTTATATAACTTCTATTTAGTATTATCTACCTTTACACTATATGCTAGAATAATGCTAGTTAAATGATATCTCCTATATAAATTTATTACTTATTCTTAAGCTAAAGATAGAGAGGTTAATATTATTTATTAACTTAACTATTAGTTGCAGCAAAATATATTCTTTAATTTTATTTAAGCACGCCTTCATCTAATTAAAATATAAGTAGCCCATTATTTATAAGTAGACCCAAGTAAATATTATACCTCTATAGATAATAATTAGATATATAGGAGCTTTAATCTCTGTGTTCCTATAATAGTTAAGGGGTTTAGGTCTGTTATAATTCACTTCCCTCTTCTATACTATATTAGTGAAAACCCCTACCCTAGTAATAATAATGAGAAAGTCCTTTGTAAAGCTAGTATATATACTTGGATATAGAACTTTTATCCTTTAATACTAATTCTACATTTACATGGGTTCAGCTTGGATACTGGTTAGAGCGTAAGAACTTAGTGATCATAGAAAATTATTTACTAATTATGCTCAACTAGTACACCACTCTTAAATAATTACTACTCTTTTAATATATATTCTAATACTCTTGCCAGTGGTTCCTCTCTCTTTTTAGATATCTAGCCCCCTAGTTCATTTAAGATAGCTATGACATTAGTAATAACCTTAGACTATATCTACTTATTAACTATATACTAGAGGGAGAAATACTCTTTAAAACCTAGCTATACCTTAATACTTAAAGGGAGCTGCGTGTAAACCTTTTCCGTGATCTAGCAAGAATAATACTTAATATAAGTTAATATAAAATCCCTAAGATTAGCTCTTTTATTATTAATAGTAATAGTTATCTATAACTAGCAAACAGGCCTCTAACATTGATGCTATATAACCTAGAAAATAAAAATATCTTAGTTAATATGCTAAAGAATCAAACCTTAATAAGTGTTAATATATATATTAATAGTCTTCTACTTTACTATAATAATTAACTATATTTTTAAGTAAACTCTATAAATAATATTAGCGACTGTGTTTCTTAGATGACTGCCCTTATCTTAATAAGGACTATATAGCTATAGTTCTTTAACCGCCAGCTTAATAATAGTCCCTTTATCTTTTGTTTAATAGATCTACATCTAAGTAATATTCTTATTAATAAATAATGGTATATTAAGTATGTTATTAACTTAGAATGGGCTAGCTCTCTTCCTATTGAATTTATGCGCACTCTAATATAGCTAACTTACTAAGTGATTAATAAAATTGATCCTAACAATTATGACATACTGCGGCAGGAATTCATAGAGGTATTTAAAGAAGAGGAATAAAGCTACTTAGCTAATTATAATCTTAAGTAAACAATTATCATGTAATAAGGCTAGAAGTGAGAAACCTTCTGGTATACAGCTGCGCTAAGAAGTATAATAGGCTTATATATAATCTTTTATAATAGGATTTAACAAAAATATTTAAGAAAATATACTAAGGATCTAAACTTCTTTCTTTTTATTTCCCAGTACTAGGGCTTCAAGAGGTCAAAATTCATTAGAGCGAAACTTCAGGATAAGGCAGGCTATAATAAGAGGCTTTAAGAAATGTTCCTATATAATAATTAACTATAGTAGTATAAGATTTTATTTTATTATTAAGAGTTGAAACCTATGAGATGTACCTAGGGCTTATAAGCTAGGCTTCTTTCCTTTTGCCTTATTTTCTAAGTCTAGGTTATTAGTATGAAGTTTAGCCTAAAGAGCTCTTTTAAGGGCTGCTTCAGCATTTATAAATTATTTTTTTTTGGCAGCATTAACAGATAATAAGAGCTGACTGAATACTTAAAGAGTGCCTTTCTTTCTTATTTATACTTCTTAAACAGTAGCATCTTTATAGTCATTAGAGGAGATGGAACGTCTATCTGCCATAGTTCTAAATATATATAGAAATAGAAGAATCCTTTAATAAAAAGGTAAGCTCTATATTTACTATATTCTTAAAAAGAGAGATTTATTTATATGCGTTGCCGCCAGCCGCAATTACACTAAGGCCTACCCCACTTATAGACACGCCTACATAGGACTAATCAAGTTAATAATCAAGATTCACCTATAATTGATCTATAACCATTAGCACTAAGACTAAAGCGGCGATGCTCACCTACTAAATTAAGAAAGGAATCACTAGATTAATAAACCCCCCCAAAAAAACCTCTTTATAATCTATTAATCCTAATCTTCCCTAATTGTAAAGATGCCTCATTATTAGCTTTAATTATCTCTAAAATATTCCTTACTTACTCTGCCTTTTGAGCTCCTCTATCTAATCCTAAAAAACCTACATGACCTTAATGACCTCATCTCCATGACTTGCACCTGTCGAAGCCTTCTGATATATTTCTAAGAAGCATAAGAGATAGTCATAAAATCAATTTTATTAAAATATATAATTAACTAATTTATTAATAAGTATAGTCTTCTAAGCCAGCTGCGGCTCCTTATCTGATGAAACACTATTAAAAGAGATATTATATATTCTATTTTTATGGCTAAATAAAATAAATAGAGAGTAAAACATTAAGAAGAATACCTCATCTTATTTAGAAAGGCTTTAGCATGGTCCTTAGTCTTAAATAATTACTAGTCTAATGCCATTGATATTCTAAGAAAGTTATAAAAGGGAGAGTAACTATTCACCTAGATAAAGTTAATGAATCCTATTCTACTAATCGGAAATCTCCTGATATAATTACTTAATGAGAATAAGGGAAATAAGGATATAAGAGAGCAGTTTATAAAGGTGTTAAGAATGGAATACCATTATTATACTAACGCCTACATTTATATATATGAGAAAGGGAAGAAGCGCCTAAACCTAGACTTAGCCAAAAGTGAAAAACGCATGCTTTCAACATAGGGAATACTTTTTTAGGATAATTATATTATTATTAGATCCTTAGCTAATTAAAGGAAATCCTGCTTAATAATCTCTACCTACTTTAAAGCCAACTCCCTTATAACTTAGATATAAGGTTTAAGACAGTAAGGCTCTAGTAAAAGTTTTAGGAAGTCATCCTGTAATAGATCCTTAACTAACTTAGATCTAGTAGAGTTTTAAAAGTTAATAAGAGCAGCATCTTATATACTACTAGATAGTCTATCTTTCTTCTATAAATAAGTAGTCAGCTCTAGATACTCAATAATAAGAATCCTAATAGACTAGATATTATATTCTTATTCTTTATAATATAAGCTTTTCAGTAGACTCGTCCTAATATTAGCTAGAAATAAAGTTAGAAGTTTTAGTACCTAGATAATGCACCTTCTTACTTATTTTGACTAAGTCATTAGTTAATAAAAGCACATTCTCTAAACTTATGTCACCATAAGGTATTTTTAATATAATATAGATATATTAAATCCCTATTAATAATTTATGACAGAGTGCTGCTAGTTTAAATAACTTAAACTATCTAAAGGGCGTTATGAAGACTTGGGCTAACAACACATTTATAACTTTATAGAATAAGAATAGACTATCATTATAATAGAAAGTATTATAAAGCTAAATAAGGTTCTTATAAGAAACAGCTATAAGTCTTAAGACTTAATCTTTACTATATACCTTCACCACCTTTATAATGGCCTTAGAGAAAGTATTATTCTTGCTGTATATAAGAAATGCCGGGCCTACTTAGTCTAATTTAAATATCTTCTAAAAAAGTTTCTATAGGTTAAAGGTCTCTATTCTAATTAAAAAGACTGCTAAGGCCTGTGGCTCCTTTTATAATTTTTAGATAGGCTATCTATATATCACCTGCTCTTATTCATTAAGTAAATGCTTTAGTACTAATAGTCGTCAGATATTCCTAGTATATAGAAATATTAATAAACAACCATTGTCTGACTCCATAATACAAGGACTTGGCCCTTAATAAGGGATATAGGGAGATTAGTAGGATTATATAGAAAGAAAAAGAAAAAAGAAAAAACTATGGCATTTAAAAGTTATGTCTTCTAACTAAACTACTTAGTACCTATATACTATTAAGCAACCCTAATATGCTCCACCTTCCTCCGCTTCGCCTAAAAACCTTCCTAGGCTGTCTAGGGTTAGAACTTAAGCTTATGATAATTAACTCTCTTATTTAAATATAATATTAAGTCTCTCAGTTTATCCTGTTTTTAAGCATTAGTAGATATTAAATAAGTATTAGTATCTATTAGTATATATAATAATAATCTATTTACTAGTAAAAAGCAGTCTCCCATCATTTCGCTGCAGCTCCTTATTAAGGACTCTCTTTATATTAAGTTTTCTATAGAATAATACTCCTCTTCTATTATGCCGTACTGTTTAACCGCCTTTATATATTATATTAAAGTAATTAAGGATATAAAGAGAATACTGGAATGCCTTCTAGCAGCAAAGTAAGTAAGGAGTATTTTTTAAGGTATAAATTAGACCTACCTAGTTATCCTTATCTTTTATGAGTAGTTAGTCTATCTAGGGGTAAATCTAGTCTTTATGGTCTTTACTAAGTTAGCTTCCCCTAATAAGTAGAGAGGGCCATATATATTCTTCTTTAAGTTCTTAGATTAATAAGATCTATTGTCTCTACACCCCTATCTATCTTAAATAATACTATATAATCTCCTTTATATAAGGCAGTAGTGTGGTGATTCTAATGCCAGTTGTAAATATTATAATATAGTTATAGGGAGCAGTATTTATATAATAGCTATAGGGTCCATTAATAAGTAATCTAAGCTGATTATAACTATATGAAGTAAGGGTATTAGTAAAGCTATGCTTAACTTTAGCTAGAATATATACTTTCTTTACTTTCCCATCTAGTCTGTCTTCCCACCATATAATAGTAAAAGGGTAGGACTTGGCGAAAGACAGAGGTCTCACCCCTGGGGCTTATAAGTATATATACTATCTAGCTTATACCTTCTAGGTATATGGAAGCGGGAACTTTAACTCTATGGCATCTCTTAACTTAGTGTAGTCTATAAGTATAAATACTCTACTAGATAATATATAGAATAGTTACTATAGTAAATACTATATTATGTTGAATAGTAGTAACCTAGCAGTAGTAAAAGTGGAGATAGCGGCTAGCCCACCATTTTAGTATAAGTATAGCTAAATAGTAATAATCACAAGAATATAAAGCAGTAAATGGCCTTTTATGGCTAGCTTATATATCTACTTATAAATCTAGGAGAAGGTAAGAGCTGGCAGAAAAATAAGGGTGATAGCAGCTATAAATCTATATCACTAGAAGGCGTCTATAAGGTTAAAAGTAACATTTTACAAGGCAAAAATCACATGGAGGGTTCCTTAAAGAATTAACATAAAGCCAAGAGAATGATGTAGATGATGATATATAGCAAGTGGGAGACTAAGAAGATCTACACTAATAT